ATATATATATATATATATATAGTTTCCTTTGGAAAATGTATTTGCAGCATCTCCCTAACGTTGTTACCACCAGAGTAGGAAACCGCTACTTTTATAGAGCTTGTCTGGATTAGACATAAGGTTGCAAATAGGGTGTAAACAAGTTAGTGGAAAGTCTGTACGTAAGGGTAGAAGATCGGATGGCTGTTAAGCAGCACTCTTTAAACTGGTATTAGAAGAAAACCAGATTCCACTTCAAATAGACATGTCTGTTACTATTAAAATCTAATTCGTATACATGCATGTATAAATACATCCACCCATGCATTCAAACCCAAGTATGTAGCACTGCCACTGGTAGCCTGTAAGGCTGCTTAGATTTATACCAACTAAAAGGCGTTTGTGTTCTCACTTTAGGGCTGGGACATAAACCAGGTTTGAGGCTCTGGCTTTCTCCTGACAAATTTTGCAGTGCCTGACAGTTTTATGTCTAACTCCAGATGCCACGTTTCCCAGAAAGCAACAATTTTCTGCACACGTGAGGTCTACGAGAATATCAGTTCTCTGTTTTGTGCATAACGTGTTGCAAGAGTCAATTGTTCCAATTGGCACTTAAGACTGAGAGTTGCAGGAATCGCTACTAAAGTGTAATGACTGTTCCGTCCTCCTCGATACCTCCTCTGGGGATAACCAGACTGTGTCGGGGATCAGTTTTTAAGGAACTGAGTAATTTGTGGATGTTGCCGTTGCTTTCTCGGCCAGAGTTGTTGTTGAGCACCAGGTCCCTTTGAAGTCTGTGGCTAAGGCTGCTGCCATTGATTCGAGAGAGGCTATTGGAAGTAAGGCTGTGCAGTTTCGGAATGTGCTGTGGCTCCAGACCGCCCTCGATGACAATGTCAGCCTCTTCATCACTCTCCATTTCATCAGGGTGGAAGTTCTGCAGCACATGGGATGTGGGCAAACTATGGTGACTCGCAGTGCTGTCTGTAGACTGGCCAGAGCTACCAGACATCCTACTGCTTCGAATAATATTGTTCCTCTGGTTTGCTGGCTTGACTGTGATAATAAGATTATGGCTGTTGGCAATCATCATGTCTGTGACTTGGTCGAGAGTCTTTCCGGCTACTTCAATGCCATTAACTTCCAGGACTTCATCGTTCACAGCCAGCAAGCCTGTGCTCTCTGCTAAGCCTCCAGGAACCATACGAGAGATGAAGATACCAGGTACTTTTTCTAGTCCATGAGGAGTAACCCTCACGCTGGTGCCATCGCGAATGTAAAATCCTAAGGGTTTCTCACAGCCGTGTCGATACAGCCTCACTCTCCTGTGTGTTTCAGGAAGAATGTCCACATCGATTATGGAAGACACTGGTCTAAAATCATGAGGCATGCTAATGTTAATGTGAGGACGCCGGCGGAGGTTGTCATTGCGGAGTGTCACCAGAGCCTTCTTCTTCCTCGACAGTGTGTTGGTCCCAAAATTACTGTAGTCCACTTCATCTGAAAAACAGAAACAATACCAATGTATCAATCAAACAGAGAATAATTCAATCTACAGGGCATTTTCCTCTTAAATCTGGTTCAGTGAAGCCACACTCCTAATAATATGGAAAAAAAATCAAATTAATTCTTCCACTTACTCTAACCTTTTTTTCATTTCATGTCCATCAGGACAACATTCAGAATGAATGCATTGTTTTCAATGGCTGCCCATATTTCTTCCATACTTTGAGGGAAAAAGACTTCTGATTCTCAGCTTCTGTTGTCAGCTGTGCAGAATGCAATTACTTGCAGCTGCAGACCCGATATACCATCTTAGGCATGAGACCATATTTTGAGAGTCGGATTGCAATTTTACACATACATCTCAAGGGGCCAAGGAGTGTACACACATTCCTAACCTAAAAGTCTGAATTGGGGAGTATTTTAATATTCAAGACATAGCCTTAACTGATAGCAGACCTCAGGTACAAACATGAAAGCATGGTGTGACAGAGTACTTAGATATGTGTTTTAGCCTAGCCTTTTTTAGTAAGGGATTTATGTTAATACGCATCTCTCAGTACAGCAGTTTTCTCTTTGGAATATTTTACTTCATTTCAGCTGAATTTGACAGCAATAAAAAGTGCTAAAAGTGCCAAGTACCAAAAAAGTTCTCTGTAAGCAAGTGGCCCAGTAGAAAGAGAAGCAGGGAGAGAAACTGCTCTGCTGCCTAGTCCATAGGCTAAGGATCGCAGAACAGACAGGACTCACACAGAGACTCCTGCCCTGGAGAGGAAGATCCACAGGAAAGCAGCCTTCCTAGGGTTTGCTGTTTAAGGAATTAATTATTTCAGTCTCTGTAGCGGTATCCCAAGGGCATGTGCAAAATGATCAACTTTAAATCAGCCAAGTAATATGCCAAGTTATTCCATATAAGAAGCTCATGTTGTGCTTTGCATAAAAAGTACTTAGTCATGAAGTTGTTAGTGTACAAAACACGTCACTGCATTTCACATTAAAAATACTGTGCATATTTTAAACGTGAAGCATGCACTAGCTGGAAAATCCTTTCACCGGGACTTGAAGCATGCTAACACTTTCCAGAAAACTTTCAGTTTATTCTGCTGTTGAAGACGAGCAGTAAAATACAAAAGTACCGTTATAAAAATGCACTAAGAAAATTTTCTCTCCAACAAATTAACCTTGCATAGCGATGTTTGAGAAAGCAAGGCAATGCCTCTACCTGATAAAGGTTGGGGAAAAAAAAAAAAAGAAAAAAGAATGTGTTAGTAAAAACAAGCTTATAATTACATTTTTATTTCTTGCAAGGTCTCATTTTCAACTCAGCTTTCAAGGCATATTATTGACAGACTTCAATTAAGTGACATTAAGTTACACAACTCAAAGGACGCTTAAAAAAAGTGCTAAGCCGCAACCTGATCTAACTGAGCCTGCTTGGAACAGGATTAGCTGGCCTCCAGAGGTCCCTTCCAGCCTAAATTATTCTGTGATCCTACGCAGTCCTTTGGGATGGAGAAAAAAAAAAAAAATCATTTGAAGACTTTAGAAAAACTATTTCTGCCTTCTCCTATAACTTATTTACATTGGCTATACTAACATTGAGGACACCACAAGGCATCCAGAAGGTCATCGTGAAGGAAAACCTGCTGTGAAATAAAGATACTCCTTAGACAAGTTTGTCGTGTTCAACTTCACACTCGCCTCTCCTCTCTCCTCCCAGGCTGTTCAGAGCCGTACGAACCGCACAGGCCCTACTGTGTTACTCAGACTGGTGAGGCACAGGACTAAAAGTCCTTAAAATCACCCAAATGCGAGAAGCTCCCAACTGGTTCCTGGAAGCGTATTCCCAGGCAAGACGGTGATGGTGTGGAGATGGCACCTTCTCAAGTCCACCTGGTGAGCAGAGTCAGTGCAGGATCTGCTCTTCTGCATGCATAAGTGACCTGCGGCAGCCAAAGCCAGGTATTACTCCTTTTCTTTCATCAGCAGGATTCACCATCTACATTAACCTAGACTTTAAGTTTTGACGGATGATTCTGAAGGTTGGCAACAAATATTTTTTCCTTGTAAAGTATAGGTCTGCAAGAGACGTCTTTCCTCACCACAGTCCCAAACGCTGCACCCTGCTCACCCTCACGATTCACTGATAAATTTCTCTGACAGTCCTACAAAAACAACTTGAGGATTCAGATTCAGAATCAAAATTTTTCCTCACTTGAAACATAGCGCTGTAGAATAGTAGTGCTGTATCTTGAAGACCAAGACAACCATTAACCCCAAATTTCAGTTTAAGATGGCAATTAAAATTACATGCGGGTTTATGCGTTTAAGACCATCTCTTGCAGTACTGGCAAACCAAACTCAAAACAAAACAGAAGCTGCATCCCTTAAAGACTCAGGAAATTAGGTTGGTGAGTGCAGTTTATTGCACTGCAGGTAAAATGACACCCATGCCCTAGTTATCCGTCTGTTCCCTGAAAGCACCCAGGTAACTGTTCTCTCCCTCTCTATGTTAGCATATTAATACGGAATTACTTTAAGGCAGGCTTGCAAAAGCTTTACCAAATAATCCACCTAGGAAGATTTGTTGACAACACTGTTTTCTTCCTCTTAAATTAACAACCACCCAGAGAGTTAATTCTCACCACATGCAAGTTTGTGATGATAAAGTAGTAATGTCACAGGAAAAGTACGACGGTGCTTCTGACACACACAGGTCATTTCTGAAGCAGCTTCCGTTGGCCGAACCACCTCCACGGCAATGGCATAAATAAAATGGTTGTTTTGTGCCTGTGACCTCCTCACCTTCACTCAAGCCCACTAACCTGTCTGCCCAGATGACTGCCAGCATTCCTAACCTCTGAGCACCTTCAAAACCACCACCTCCTCTAATAACAAAAAGCCCAGCTTACCACAAAAATGCTCTCTTTTTCCTCCAAACATGAACGAGGCAGAAGCAGGAGTTACATTACAAGCGATATAGGCTATTTTCAGTTTTGGACCACTGACCATTCTTGAATTTAGTATTTCAGGGCTGGAACATGTTAAAAAATGAAGTCCACGTCCTGTTGATGACTGGAATTTTTATTTTTAAAACAGTGTCAGACATTAGTTTCCAACTCTGACCTACTAAAACCTATTATAGGTTGGAGAAATGAGAGCTAGCTTGGAGAGCTTTAAAGAAAAATCACCAATTAACTCTACTTTCTAGAAAAAGTTCAAGTATGGAATACACGCTCCTTGACAATACAGGGATTATTACATTACTTGTATTCAAGATGACCTGCTCACTAGCAGTTACACTCGCTTGAGATACCACCTTAAAATTAAAAAAAATTTTAAATAAAAACCCACCAACCCACCAGAACAAAACAGCTCACCCCGATGCTACTTAGAGCCACTACTCTTGCTGCAGAAATAAAGCAAAGTATCTCTACTGAAGTTTAACATCCGCTGTTGCTGTAGCAGCAGAAAGTCACCAATCCCTAGCACAATCAAAAAAACCTCCCTTCCTCATGAGGGAACTGGGAGAAGGCAGCCAATTTCACTCACTTTATCAACTACAGGGTGGTCACACAGTGGTGTATTACCTATTTCCAGTAATAAACTGCTCAGGTGGCATGTGTCAGACTGAAATGAGAACTGTATCATTGCATAATTTACAATGACACACTTTGAATGAAGGTCAGCAACTTGGTGGTAGGTTTTGAGTTTCTCACCTTATAGGATTTCAAGCAGGAACGCCACTTCAGCTAATGAAATGGACTGTGCTTGATGCCAGGTCTCGGTGAAGACCAGTATATACCATATGGAACCAGACAGCTCATTTTTCATGTTTCATTTGTTGCAATATCAAATTCTCCTTTTGCAGAGCAAAAAGTCTACAGAAACCTGCATGCATACTGGCAGGAGAAGTGCCATGAAGTGGCACATCTGAACAGTGCTTAAAGGCTCATATTTTACAGGGTGTCATGTTTTCCTATGTCTTGAATGAGGCTGGGGTGAAACGTTACATGCAGGTGAGAGAGTCAGTCTTTTAGGGGCTGAATATGACCCCCATTTCTTAGAATAGGGCACATTACATGGAGCATTTTCATGTCGAAGATGTAGTGCTTTCAGACAAATACGTACTATGAACTGGACAAATAATCCTGGGTAACCACTAAACTTCAGAAGCCTAGGACCTGAATTTTACTTGTGCCCATAATTTGTTTCCTACTGAAAATACTGTTCCAGTAAAAAGATACTTACCACAGTTGGAGAAGGACGACTCAGCTTTCCAGTTCTCTCCTGCTTGAAACCACAACCCAAAACTACACAAAGAATACCTCAAACTCTTCTGTAGGCACTGAATATTACTGCAACTTGTTTCCCCAAAAGCTTAAGTTATCAGTACATTTTAAGAAACATTTTGTTATCTGCCAATGAGTTACATAAAGCCTTAAGTATTTTGGCTAGATCCTTTCTGTTAATACGTGGGTTTTGTGTCG